ATGCTTTTACTTGTTGCTAGAAATCAGGTTCGCAGAAAATGCTGTTTACTAGTTAAATTTAGTAGGAATAACACGATCTGTGACGTAGGCTATAGTATACCCTATTAAAATATTAACGAAATCAAAAATACCAATTCACAAGCAGATCTAGAGCAAACGAGTTTTCTCTCTCAATGAATTTAACTTTCTTTAGAGGAACACCAAAATTTGATGAAATAAATAAAAGTTTTTTTTTTTTTTACTATTTTAATAACTAAATAACGCACTATCGTTAGTGAATTTTCATTTAAACATTTTAGAATATTTTTAAAAATATGCTTACAAAAATTAAACATTAATGTTACTATAGAGCTCATCATAAATAAGATTAGCTTTTATCAACACAATAATAGTACCATAATTTATTTCAATTCGATAGGTGACTACTGGGGACATTTCAAAGTCACGGTGCCTTAGGTGATACAGCACTCGATTCCCAATGAGATGGAGATGACCCAGGTTCAAACTCATTGGAAACTAATTGATACGAATTCTGGCTCGTGCTGACGTAAAACATCCTCAGTAGTAGACAGATCATGGTTTAGAATCTTCTTGGCATCGGGCTAACGGTGATAGGTTTTCCTCCTATATAACGCAAATGCGGGTTAATAAAAAGTTTTATTATGGGAAATAAATTTAAAATGTATAAAAAATATTTTTGCATTCGCAAAAAAGGAAGTCGGATTCGATTATAGATTAGATTTATGAATTTTCGCTTTACAAAAAGTACAATTCATTAGATTGTCAAAGATTGCTTATTACTTTTAAGATAAAATTTTCTGAGATAAACATTTGATTGCATTTTATATTTTTGATCAAACCCGTTTTACAACGAGTTTAAATTCGTTCTGAAAGAGCGAATGAATCTTTATTACAGTTACAACATCATGCCTATCTAAACTTGGTATTTCTTCAATACTTTTAAGACAATATTGTGAATACGACGATGGTTTAGAAAATATGAATTTTCCAGTAACAAAGAATACTTTTTTTAGGCTAATTAAAAATATAAATAAAATTTTTTAGGGGAGTAAAAATAATAAAATTTGTTTTGTAAAGTAATAAAAAAGGAGGAGAAAACCATAAAACCAATCTTCAATTAAAAAAACTTGTTTGCATTACAAAATAAACCATACCATCAAAGTTTTAACTGAAAAATATCTTTATAAAAATAAAAAAAAGTTACAGAAACGAAACGGGTAGCGATTTAGCTAAGATAAAATTTTTACAACATTTCTTAGTTTAAAAAGTGGAGAAAAAATTTTTTATTAAGACCAAAGAAGGTAAAATCTCTACTTTCGTGCACCGTTTAACAACACTTTTGAAATATCTAAAAGTAATTAAGCAAGATGGGCGACGATTAGACAAGAAAACGAAGCGGAACTATCCCTAGAGATTCTATTTTTGGATAACGAGAGCTTTTGCGTTGGTGGCAGAGTTCATACAATGGGAACCTCTGTTTAAAAAAAAGGGATCAATAACTGACAATAAAGACTCTTTGTATAGAAATATTAACTCAACGAATAATGCATAAGTTGTGGATAAAAATCGTATTTTTTATTATGGATGAATAAATTTTTTCACTTTTACAAATAAACTAATTTTTGAAATTTACAGCGGATTAAAAAAAAAAGATCGAGGTAAGCGTTTTTATAGTATTAGGGTATGTTTTCATAATTTCACCTTTTTTTAAAAAATGTAATTAATTTTTATTCAATACAAAATACAACAGAGTTATCGTCTTTTTCTGGTGTCATTAAAATGCTTAGCTAGATTTCGACATCATTTACTACTTATCTAGTTTTGGACACATTATTTTTAAAAATACTTGCGTTAAAAAGACAGCAAAGAGAAAAAAATTTAACCTTTAATTGCGTGAATAGAAAATTAAATATTTAAATAAATTTCTATAAAAATTAAAATTTATGGCCTATTAAAAAAACATGATACCGAACAATGTTAATGTCAATTGCGAAAACTTACTTGTTTATAAATTTATTGATGTAAAAAAGTACTAGGGCAACAAGATATTTTCAAACCTTTTTAAAAAATTATGAGGGGATTGACTTTAAATTTTCAGCACAGTTTCATATTTCAAATAAAACTTACTCACAAAACGTCAAAAATTTTTAAAAACATTTTATTTTGAACATTTTATAAAGATATTTTATTTCAGAAAGTTTTATCATTCTTCGCGTCTGAGTTCCTGCTCACTTTAATAAAAATGAGTAAGTCATAAAATACCACACATTGAATAACATAAAAAGAAATATCGGGATTACTTTTTTTATTTTTTTATAGCAAAAAACAAATGATAGTAAAAAAAACAATATCATTGGGGGGGGGAGGAATATATATTAAGATAAAATATTCCACATGATAATACTTCCTTTTGAACAAACAGAAAAAATTCGTCAAAAAAAATTTTTAATGACATTAATCTATATATAATAAAAGTTTTAGCTCAATAGAAAGAAAAAAATTTTACTTAACCAGAATAGATTGAAATTTATCAAAAATAACGTTCCGAGAAAATTGATTTTATTAGTTAATCATTGCAAATTTCTTTGGACAAGTTTTTCTGTTTTTAAAGCTAAATCACAAAAAAATAAGATTTTATGAGCTACTCTAAATGTTCCTAAATGCTCTGTTAAAACTCCTAGATTTTAAAACTCTGTTAAACACCTAGATTTTTTCTTAACTGATTTTCGCTCAGATGAGAGTCTCTTGTCACCTTAATTTTCATTAGATGTCAGAAATAGATAGTTTTAAATTGATGAGACTAATTTTTAATTATTTGAATAAAAAGAAAATATTTTGTTTGTTTTTAGAAAAGGTTGGGTAAAGAGCAATTATTTTATTTTAGCATACTTTGAAAATTTTTTGTACCCTCAGTGCACTGACTTGCCTTATTTAATTTGTATGAAAAATAGCTCATCTTTTTTATAAATTTATTAATTTCAGAATGATTTTCATTTTTTTGAGAAAGCGAACTTACTATTTTTAGGTAAAAAATTATCACACTGTTATAATTTTAGGGTCGAATGCAACTTGAAATATATCTTTAACATATTTCTTACAGTATTATATAGTGTTCCCATATTTTAACAATAGCCTAACCTCAATTTGAATTTTTAGATTAAGTTTGAAAAAAAAAATCTAAATTTCCTCACCTATTAATACCATAAGCCTAGTTACTCCTGATATACTATAAATAAAAAAATAAGCCACTATAGCAAACCTACTATATATATATATAAAGCTATCTTTTAATGAATGTTTAAAATTAGTTTTCCAAACTTTTACTGCCCTGTTCAAAAATAATTTGATTTTGCATAATTTTTTTTTTTTTTTTTTTTTTTTTTTTTTTTTTTTAATACAAAGCACATGGATTTTTTAGTGATTCCTAAAGACTTACAGACTTATTACAAACAAAAATAAATATTAAAAAAATTTAAATTCAATCTAAAGTGACATAGATATTTATGCGCTTCTCTTCTATTAAACAAATATTTGACTAATCTATTTATTGAATTTTTATTTTTCTATGAAAAAAGTGTGCCTAATTATATATACATAAAGTGATAAAAATAATTACACTGATGGAACACTTGTATTTTATTTAGAGCTATTTTAATGAGCTTGTTTGTTACAAAATCTATAGGAACTTTTTGGGATAACTAGAACGACAATAAATAAATTTTTAATTCATACAAACATGTGAAATTCTAGGTATAAACTAGCTTATAAAAGGAGAAGAAAAGCATGGAATATTCATTACATTAATTATATTTTTAATTCAAATGATTATATTTATGAAGCTGATATGGAGAAAAAACGAATTTATGCACAGAAAGGTAGGACTTTTTCTCAGTGTGTAATCACTCTCAGGGAGAACCGATTTTTTTTTCCATTATTGGTTAGTCAAAACCTAATAATGCTCAAAATGCAAAAGATGACAATAAAGTCATCATTTTTGTGAAAAATGAACATAAGTCGTTCGTTCTCCTTGGTCCTCAATTGTCTTTTATCAATCTACATTCAATATGCCGAATGTACATTTGTTGTTGTAATGTTGCAATAATTATGTGTTGCAAAATAGAAACATGTAAATATTTTTCTCATTTTTGATATTAATAAATACTAACAATACTTTTTTTTTGAGAACTTTCATAGGCAGCATTTGTCTTTAGTCTTTTTAACATCCACCCTTCTTTTCTTTCTTCGTTAAGAAATTGTCACAAATAAACTTTTTAAATCTTCACTTCTGTTACTTTTATTGACAAAATAATATTTGTTGGGAACAGTTCATACGCATTGTCCTTTTAAGAGTTAAAATTACTGTTTTATTTATATTTTTTTTTTGGTTAATGATTTGAAAAAAATAAAAATAAAATTAAACATATAGGGGAATAATTATATTATTTCAAACAAAATTTAATAACTTGCTTATGTCAAAAATCATTTTGACTTTTACATTATTCTTGCCTCCTTGGTTTTTCTTGTCGCTTCCTGTGCTTTTGAATTTCATAATTATATAAGATATAATTACATTTTAAAATTTATAAGTTTTAACAAGCTTTACTTTATGGTACAACCTTGTTGCTTTTTCTTCTTTTTTTTTATAGTTTCCTAATAAACAATTTTCAGATTTTGATTCACTTTAATAAATCAAAGCTCAGTTTTCACAACTTTTTACAATATTAACAACAATTGAAAAAATATATAAAAAATTAATAATTTATAGACAGATCCCAGTATTCATAACAGAAGATCCTAGATTTAATAATTTATGCTTCATTTATCAATAATAAACCTTTTTATAACACTTTATTCAGGAGGAGTTGATATGGAGAAAATGGTTATTTTATTTACCAGTAGATTAGCTTGAAATAAAATATATCAGACACAAAATAGTTATGATCTAATTACAACAAAGGATAAAATTAAATCAACACAACTTTGAATAACAGTCTGAAATTTATTAGAGAACTATTAGAACAGCACAGATCATAATACAAATTGTAATGTAAAAAAAAAGTTTTGCGATGATTTACATAAAAATACATACATCAAATAGTGAAAGCTAAATATGACATATAACCAAAAAAAGGAGTCACAATATTAAATATCATCTAAGACTACAAACAAATTTTACACAATTATTTACAAAACGTATGCATTTCATAAATTTGAACTTATAAGAAAGTAGTTTTTTACACAAAAAAAAAGGGGGCAGAATATTTTTTTTAAAAAGAACAAAAATCAATGAAAGCAACAAACTATGTATAGTTAATAAAAATTAAAGCAGCAGATCTTAATTTCAAAAAAAATACTGATTTTTTTAAACCAAAAAACTCTTGGTGAACCAGCACCCAAAGAGAAATTTATTTTTCTGATTGCTTACAGGAAGAAATGGTTGGCATCATAGGTAGTAATGAGCCATCTGAAAACACATTTCAACATAAGAAATGCTCAATCTTTTGACCATTAAATTGGAATAATTTCATTCTACAATTTAGGTTTGTAACATTTTGTTACTTTTAAAGTGTTCACAAGGTGTTCATCATCTTATTTTCTTTCTTTAGTTCAGGAAAAAAAAGCAAAAATTGAAATCAGATCTTATTTGACTTTTATAGTATTTTTGCAGGTTACTGGGCTTGTAGACTAATTTAGAAATATTGCAAAAAAAAAGAGTAAATAATTAATTTTTTTATCAGACTCGTCCGGTACTAATGCATGGTATCTGAGCACATTACAATTAACCTTATTTGTTCAATGAAAGGTAAATTTTTGAAAATTAGCTTTGAAACAACTAATGTGATACAATAAAGCGAGAATTAGGTTTATTCAACATGTTCGGTCAGTTAACCATAAAATCAATCTAAGAATAGCACAAATTTAAAAATTTATAAACAGCTGCTCAAAGGCTATCAGGTTAAATTTTCAAGCATCATAATAGTTTCTTTCTTTTCTTATCAATTTAACCCTTTTTAAAGGAAATTATCAGTTCTATTTACACTTAAACTCTAATTCGAAGAGATCAGTCATACGCCATTTTAAATTATATTTTATCTGGAAAAAACTATTTTGTGACGTTTATCAAGAATAAAAAGTGATGAATTACACTATTAGTCAACTATTCACAGAATAACAATTATGTATAAACATAAAATTGCAAAAGGACTGCCATAAACAAATTTTTACGTAAAAAATTTATGATGTATGAAGATCAATGGGGAAGAACATGTCCATTTTAAACAAAAATAGAGATTGGATCGCCACCTGTGCAATTTGAACATTACTAGGTTTATATAAATCAAAAATATAGAAAATTGATTCTACCTGAAAGTTATTACACAGTGAAAATGGACTATACTGATTAAATATGGTTCCTTTCTATGCATAAGCAAGAACAAAGAAAAGTATAAGGAAAGATGATGGGAAATCTAGTGAGGTAGTATTGATTAGAAAGGAATTTTGTTTTGAAATTTAGAGGAACGTAAATCCCTTGATCTTCATATATTTTGAAATATTTTTTTCTTTACAAGTAAAAAAATATACATGAATAACTTCAACAAATATCCAACATTTTTATAGTAAAAATATAAGACACAAACAAGTCTTCAATTTTCATATTTAAAAAACATTTATAAAAGAAATTTTAACAATATAAATATATTTGAGATGATTGAATAAATAAGCTCATAAATAGCACATAATTCTGATATATACAAGATTTCCTAATATTGTATCTTAATTTTAAATTACCTTTATAAAACTAATATATATATACTTATAAGAGCTTTTAATGTAACTATTGAACAAATTCAGTTCAAAATTTACTTTAAATTTGGAACCAGATTCATGTCTCATTTTCAATATATTAATATTACAACACTTTTGTTGTCAAGACTAACATGTTCCTCAGGCAAGTTGCAAATGAAAGCAAATATATTTTCATATTGTTTGTGATATCAATTTGATTTCAGTTTAAAAAGGATTTTAGGGACATTTTAAATACTGTGAATTAATATTAATTTATAACATTACTACTTTTATGATAATTTTTTATTATTGCTATTTTAAGCTTAGTGTAATATAGACTCTAACTCTGAAAGTCCTGACAACCAGAATATAGGAACTGTTAACGTTAAATTGCAGGAATCAAAGAAAAACTGACTGATATATTAAAAATAATTTTGTTATGAAAGGAGAAAAAATATTAAATATATATTCTAATTTATTAACAAATTACATTTCTTTTATTGCAGACGTTGTCAAGTTATAATTTTACATTCTTACTAAAATCAGGATTATATATATCAGTGTTCCCTGTTCTTGAGGATTACATATTTGGGGTCCCAAACTATAGAATAATATGACTGAACTGTTTGCTTTCTTTAAATGGTTGCACAAGATTGAATGAACTATTACTATTTAAACAAATCTAATTATATTATTTTTTCAATAATCATTTTTAAAAAATAAAACTATAAAGCATGATGCAGATCACAATAGAAACCAAAAATTTGGCAATAATCTTAATACTGTGGCTAAGTTTTTTTTTTGTTTTGTTTTCAAGATCAAATATGAATTTTGAATATAAATGAACATTGCTATATAAGGCACTAGCAAGAATTTCTAAAAATTTATCACATTTGAAACTTTTCTTATGTTTCTTAAAAAACTTCATATAACTTTTAAATATAGACACATTTCTTAGCAAAATTCTCATAGAAAAAGTTTTTTAAAAGTTGAAAAATGGTGAAGCATTTTTATGACAGCTCATACATTTTTTTCACGCAAAAATATATAGCTTTTTTAGCTTCAAAACTATACATTCAGAATTATTATAAGCCATTTTTATAAACAATTTTTTAAACTCAATTTAGTTCCACTGGGGAAAAAATTATCAAGAAAGAAGAAGTCTTGCGGCAATATAATCTAGCTAAATTTATAAAGACATCATTAGACCATATTGATTGACTTTACGCATTTAAGCAAAATACTCAAGTGACATGCATAATACAACACAAACAGCACTTTATTTAATAAATCTAATTAATAATCCCAGAAGCTCAAAAGTATATGACAGAATGCCTTAAAAACAAAACAGAAGCTTTATTTATTTTGCAATTCAACAAAGAATGAATGATCCATACAATATGATTTGAAATATATAAATAGTAAAATATGTTTACATGTATAATTAGTAATTTTGATGATTTCTATGCAAAAAAGGCAAGCCTTATTAAAAAATTTGTATTACAAATATATACAAATTGTATTAGAATACCACTTTTATGACAAACACGATTCAAAGCACTTGAGCACGGCATTCCTAAAACAAAATAAACTCAACTTAAAATATTACTTAAAAAATAATGCTTTTATATTAAAACAGATAGTTTTTAACAACAGATGCTACAAACAACTTAATAACTAGTATACTCCATATAAAAATAAGTATAATGTTATAGACTTACCGTGCATAAGGTATGTATGAAATTGAATACCAAGTCATTGCAAAAAATTGGAAAATACAAAATAGTATAACGAGTCCATTTTTATGCCACTAGAAATAAAATGTAAGTTAACTTTAATTAATTATTAAAAAAAACTATATATGTGCATGCATATATATATATATATATATACACACACTCATACATAAATATATAAATAGATACAAAATACTCTTATTTTAAAATTAAAAGCTAATAAACTTTAAAAATAGTCTTCTTAACATTAAAAAACATATGTTAAAATATAACAAAGATAAAATTAAAAAAAAGATTAATAATTACTTATTTTAGCTTTAAAAATAGCAGTTTTTAAGCTAAAAACTTTAGAGAGGGCAAAAAACAAATTTAAATCGAAAGTTTAAAAATTTTCATTTTTGAAGCACTATTTTACGAAGATTCATCCTAAGTATACTGCACAATCTTTTGGAAAGACTATTAACAGAAAAATTATTTAACTTTAGAAGGCCCATGATGACTTACAAAATTGCTATATAATATATAAAAATTACATGATCATAATATATTAGACACAAGAATCAAAAACGTTTAAAGGTTTTCTAGATTTTTGAGGAAATAGTATTGTTTTAATTAAATCCAAAAAAATACAACCTTATAAAGTTTAACGGAATAAAAATCTCATATTTTTAGTAAAATTAAACCATGTCAAGCTTTCAGTGCTTATTTTTACTTGATATATATATTCATAACCGGAATTCACTTATTCAAATTTTCATTAACGGAAAAATAATTTTTTTTTCTCCAATACCCACCCGATTGACACTTGTCATTCAGGTATCAGTAGAACAGATTTGTTAGCCACTCTATTATAGAGGCACCCGATTAGGTGGACTAACGTTGCTCTCACAATAAGGAGACAACACACAGACTGAAAGAACAATAACATCTATGTCTTGTTTAAGATTTGAACCCAGGATCTTTCTGGTGTGAGATCAGCTCTCTAATCACTCGGGTTGGCAACTTGGGAAAATAATATCCTCAGAAAGAGTAAAAATTGACAAGTGTACATCTTTTGTTTTAAATAAAAAAACAATCAAATTATATTTGGTCAGTAAAAATTTTGATCAAAAACAATTCTTTAAAAGTTTCATGTTGTTGAATAAACATGATCTTTTTAGCATAATTTTGATATTTTGGGAGCCACATTTGGCATTGGTGGTAGTGGTCGTGCATATCTAGTAAAAAATTTTATCTAAAAATATTTATAAGCTTTTTACCAGTTATTTCTAGTACACATTTTCAAGCAAGTACTTGTAAATGATATTAACAAGTGATTAACAAGAATAGCAAGTCTGAGTTGTAGATAAGACCAACCATTGTAGGTTCAATATGCTATTAATATTTCCTTACATTTTTTAATAATGTGTTAGCAAAAATATTTTTGATTATTTTCAAAACTATTATAACACAAAAATTTCTCAGTTTCTCAAGTGGACACGATAAATGTTGTATTGATAGTTTCCAGAGATGCCAACTGCTCGAGTTTCGAGAAAATATTATAAAAAATGATAGAGAACTGCAAGCTCAAATTTGCAAATTTTTGGTTAATTTTGGCAACTTTTTAAAAGATTGAACATGGCTTAACTCTATTAAAATCACGTTTTAAATAAGTCTTCATATTTACTAAATCAAGAATCATGCATTAAAACGCTACCACTTGAAAATATTTATCTGCTGTTGGCATCTCTGAGTATCCAACACCGAATAATCAAAATCTGATTGACACAAATATTTATTTTTCAGTTTCAATGAATATTTACATAATAATTTATAACACTAAACTAAGAAATATTGTGCTGATATTTTACAGAATAATTGTTACAACTCAAATCTGAAAATGCATGTCTGTTTTATATAAGATATAAAAATATCAAAATAAAAATAACTAAAGTGGTGCAGCTTAAATGATGATAAATTTTCTGCCACAATTTCTCCAAAAATGTATGCTTTTACTTACCCAAAAGGCTGCACATAGTGTTAGAGCTAGAAATCCCTAAAAAAAAAAAAATTTAAAAATAATGAAATAAAATTTACGAAATATAATATAACACATAAACTTTTACATTTGAGAGTGTAAAGAACATAAATAAAGTATTTTTATTTGTAAAAATGGTATTAGTTTATGAAGATAATTTAAATAAAAATCATTGTTCTTAGTTGATGTATAAAGAGATAAACAGATTTGGATTTCAATTAGACACTTTTATTAAATAGTTATCTGCAATAGAGAGAGAGAGAGAGATTAATATATAGCTAGACATACCAAAACTGATATTGTTGCTAAAATTCTTGTTGGTGCAAACATTTTTTGTAACTGATTACAAGGTCCCATCAAGAACATAGTGCTGTGAGAGAAGATGCAAATGTTAAATTTTTTTTATTATCAACATAATTTTAGTATCAATAATATATCATCAACTCATAAAAACAAACAACAATATCTACTACATTAAAAACTTTTCTTTCTGTAAAAAAAATTTCCTTATTCAATAATTTTGAATGTTAACAATATGATTCTAATTACCTACAATGAGAAGAAACAATAAAAAGAATGAAAAAAAATTTTTTCTTTAAATAATTAGTTGATGTTCTAACCTAGATAATGCTGTTATATTTCCCAAAGAATAAAATATCCCAAACAGTACAAGTCCTTTTCCTGGTATTGTTGCACAGGCTGAACCCTAGATGTAATAAAAATAATAAATGAAAAATAACAATTATTTAATATAGGTACAATAAAACAACTAACAGTATAAACAATGTAAATTGAAATTGAAAATACTATTCTTAAATATTTATAACTGATTTGTATTACAAAGCTCAACATTAGAGTATAAACTTACATTGCAAATAACACAAACTAGATCTTGTATGATGTTAATATATAAATCAAACATCAACAGGAAAATTTAAAATATATATATAGCATACACACGCTAATTTACAAGAAAAATAATCCAATAGAAAGACTCAATCAAGATCTGAAGTCAGAAAATAAAATTCTTTAATAAACTAAAGGAGTAACAAAAGTAACCCCAAAGTAAAATATCAGCACATTTTAATCACTTATGATGAGTTACGGCAGTAGATGATTTAGAAACATATAGATAATATAGAAAATTTTAATAATGAGATTTTTGCTCGCAAAAAAAAAAAAAAAAAATTCACATCTTTTTACAGAATAAAAAATATGGAACAATAAATTAAACTTTTAAAACTTACTTTTAATACCTAAACAATTGCAGCAATTCAAGAATATGTCTTCTGATATAATTTTATTCAAACAATTTTTAACTAAGGCAATCTATCTACCTTTAAAATGTGATCTCTAGCGTGTTACAATAATGTGCGTTGATTATCAAAATACAATGCAATCCAAGAAACTGTATGGCAATAATTAGGAACCTCTATTATTCAAACCCTTTGATTTAAAGTAAGTTTTGTTCCAATCTTTTTGAATAATTAAAGGTTTATCATATATATAATAAAGTAAAAACTTTTTAATATTATTTTTTGTTTACTTAAAATTGTGCTTGAACGTGTCACAAAATAAAAGTATGAAATGAAAAAAATTGGAAAAAGGACAAATAAATAAAATGTTTCATTTATATAAAACAATGCAAATTTGAAAATTTGTTCCATACATGCAAAATAAAAAAACTAGTTAAAAAAAAAGAAAAACACTTATATCTTACCACAATAGAAAACACAAATCCTAAAATAAAGCAAATGATAAAGCCTTTAATTCTAGTACTCCAACTAAATGTAGATGCATCCATAACCTGAAATAAACCTTAGCCTTTAAATAAAATTTCAAAAATCATAAAATTAAATGATCAAATGAAAATAAATATTTAAAATAAAAATAATATTAAAAAAATTTCAACATTAAATAATATTCTTATAAAAAAAGCATGCCAGGAACTTGAAAAACTAAAACAATTCTGAAGCAATATCAAGAAACTTATAATTTAAAATTCTTTTCATAAGATTTATTATCAAGAATATTTTAATAAAACTTCAATCTAATTTAAACAACAAAATTATTTTGATTAAGTTAGTATAAGTTTTAACAACTATAAGTTTTAATAACTATAATTTTTTAAATATAATAAATCTAAATATTTTACAAATTCAATGCACCAGTGCTATTTTTTAGAAGTGCAAGGACAGATTACAGCACTTGATAATAATTAGACTTTTAGTGTAAGGGGGATCATGTAGAGTTGCAGATAGTAAGGTTTTCAAGTTTATTGAAAATTTGGTTGATATTTTAATGCATATCAAACTCAGCTTTCAACAGGTATAAACAGTGCAGCTGCACACAGCCTTGTAGTACCACAGAGACTTGCAATTCTATAAAAAGTTTAAGAAATTCTGAAAAACTGCAGGGGAAAGAAAAAAAAGTTGTCTCTAATCTGAAAAAATATCTGAGCTGCAGAAAAACAAAAGAAAAGTTTTAATTTTAGAAATGAAAAATAAAGAAGTAGAAGAGTGTTCATATATTGAAATGAAGTTAAGTAAAAAATTATGAAATTTTCCTTTTTGAATACAGAGCTTTATAAATAATATCAAACGCTAACGTGAAAACTTTGTCTTTATATATGATCCTTATTTATTTTATCTGTACCCCATAGAAAAATGTCTTATAGCAGAAGATAATCTGCTTAAACACATTGTGTTTGTTAATTACTGTTTGTGGCGTCACTACTAAATTTATTATTTTGGTTAGTAAATATGTTTGTATAAAAGCATTTGCTTTAACAGTGCCAATCTTACTTTACCAATTACGAAAATAATAATGAAATGAGTAAACAAAGTATTTAAAATTCTCTAAATTTTGTTTTTCATATTTCTTTTTTTTTAGGTGTGAGTGATTAATTAATTTATATGTATCTCAATTCTCATACAAACTTAAATATACAAAAAAATAATAATAATAAAATTAATAAAAATGTTTGTAACATAAAGCATTGTCTTAGCACATAAACACTTAAAAATTTTTAGTAGGAAAAGTAAAAACACATGTGTCATAGAGCTCAAAGTAAAATAAGTATAAAGGGAACTCTGATAAACATAAAAATTGCGTCAAATTATTTGTGTCACTTACCATTTGTTAGGTAAAATGTTCTTGAAAATTTAACACTATTTTTGCAATAACAAAAATGTTAGCAAGCTGTGAAACATTTAAAAATAACACTATACATTCAAATGTTAATAACAACTATTTTAAATGTTTTTAAGCAATAACTTTTATTTTTCAGAAGCAGATTTCAGAAATACAGATCAACTCTCACTTGCAATGTGAGATAATGGAAATGATCCACTTTTACTTCGGATCTTTTATTAAGACACTAGTCAGAATCCAACATGTAAGAACTGGATTTGAATCGAGATTCGAGGATGACTACGAGGCTGAAATCAAAAGAGCAGAAGACAAATAAAATTTTCCTGGGGCCCAGTAGAAGTCTCTTACATGAAGTGAAATGCTTTGTTTATTAATGTATTTGTATATCTTTGCAATGCCTCTCAATTTCAGCAACAAAAAAAAAAATATCTTCACATTTAGTATGTATTAATAAAAATATAACTAGCGAACATTTAGTTTTTTATTAAAATAAGTATGAAAAAAATCTGAAAATAATGTTTTAGTATATGCATTAACAAAGATTACTAATTCAAGAATCAAAGATAAAACATTATTTTGAAAGTCTTTTTGAAAAAAGCTTATAATACATGAAAGTTAGATTTGATAAGTTTAGAGGACAGAGCACACAACAATTTTTTTCCTTGGGGCCTGTAAATCCAGTGTTCAAATTTTGATGTTATATGAAGTAAAATCAAACATAATTTTTGGTTACGTCTATGACTATGCTAAAAAAATCACAGAAAATACCAAAACTTTAGAAACAGAGTTGCTATTTTTCACTGTAAGAGATGCTTGCTAATTTCAATACATTTAATCAAAAAGATAAATCTGCATACAATTTTAAAGCAATACATTCTATTTTGTTAACTTTACCTCCAGCTTCATTTGCTGATAGTATGCTCGATAGTAATTTTTATGAATTAGTACATGTAGCTTTTAGAATGCATTCCAAACTAAAATGTAACACTAATGTAGCAAGTGAAAATGTAAATGATTCACTTAGTAAAAACTTCAATAAGCAAAGAAATATTAATGAGTGGAGGAATTAGTGACAAAATTAAGAAATCAAAAAAGTGATTTCTATTTGTTCTGTTTATATTTCATGATCACAAAAGAAAACTCTTTAGACGGTTGCAAAATTTTAAAAGACAATATTAAAAGTTACGTACATTTTATCAATGGTAATCAATGCAGCATTGCAACTATTTTGTTATAACCTGTCATATAAAGTTCAATATCAAACTTGACAAGAAATATACAGCAATATGGTTTAAAATATACATAATCATATCAAACTGAACTTGATAACTATCTTTTAGTCACTTTTTAGAATGAAAAATGAACTTTTTAAGGACATGTTAAATTTAGTTCATTAAATTGATTATAAATAAAAAAAATATCGAGACCAGAACATTGTTTCATAGTAGAAAATAGTTTTAAATAAATTTAAAAAATTTATACTAAAAGGCAGTAAGATATAATAAATTTTAAAACAAGGCAAACCTGATGCATAATTCCAGATTCTTCATCCACATCATCACCACTTAGTGCTTTCTTTAATTTATCCATATTTTCTCTTAGATATAATGCCTTCAAAAAAGATATTAAAATTTAAACTGTAATTCAAATAATTGCGCTAAAGATATATAAAAAGAAACCTTTTCAAAAAATTTTACTATACTAAAAGAAGTGTGAATTATAAAAAGAAACAGTAATAGTTTATTGAATTTGTGATTGATTTTATATTAATATGATTTCAATTTTAATTAAAAGAAGCACATATACACAATGGATTCTTTTTTTTTAATAATGGGAAAAAAAGAATATATATTACCTAAGTAGGTAATAATATAATTTTCAAACACGATTATAATATTTTGATCAAACTTATCATAATAAGGAAACAAATTGACAGCTAGTAATTCACTACGAAACTAAATTACACACCTCATCGGCTTATTTAACTCATTCAGCAACAGATGCCTTAAAAAAGCAATAATAATACGTCACGTGTCAACAAACTCAAGAACTGCCAACTTAGTAATAAAAATATTTTATTTAACCAATTCTATAATGATTTTTTTGAGAAATCTTTCATTATAAATTATGTTGATTAATAAATTCGAATTTGGTCTTTTACAAATAAATTACGCATTAATAAAATTTAAAAGTGTTGTTTGAGAGGATTTAAAACTACAAGTATTCCTAAAGAAAAACTGTGCCTGTAACTGATTGCTTTGTTTTTGTTTTTATTACATTTTAAATAGTTTGTTTTGATCGGTGTATGATTGAATTAGTAAGCATCATTATTATTATTAAATGTATTCAATCATGTTTATTTATGAAATATAAAACTGTAACTATATGTCTTTTGATTAATGTATAAAGTTTTAGGTGTTATTTCAAAATTTCCCTAATAAGAGGTTAATTTTATCAACAGATAATTATAGCATCTACCAGTTTAACTTACAACAAATTAAATTATAACAAAAAATTTTATTTACAAAAGCATATTTGAACCGTATAACTGTTAAAATATTATATTAGTTTAAATCAAAGTCATTTAATATAATGAGTCTATGAATTGTAAAAATATTGCCCTCCAATTCATAGACATGTATTGTGCTAATATATACTATTCTTAAATTTTTGAATCTAGTTTATATTTTAAATATTTTATGTCTTCAGCATGTTGTGAAGTATATGAAATGTTTTATATATAAAACATTAGTGGGAAAACGTATCATACATAATAAAATATTTTCTTTTCTCGAAAATTCTTCAATTTCGTGACAAAATAGTTTACTCATAAAACTCTTTCATTGAGCTACAGTAACTTATCTTTGTTTAATCAGTGTTATCTTTATGCTAATGTACTTTGAATTACGCAAACATGATTTTTTTCAAGTTACAACAAATAGAATGAAATGGAAATGAATAAAATATTTTAAAATAATATTTTAAATACTTACAACTGATTCTTTTCCTATTCCAGGCATCTTTTTATTTATTTAAATTCTTCTTTCTTCAAAAATAAGTACTTATCTTGTAATTAAGCTTTGCATGTATGCTTATGCCTACCCATATACATTTTAGAAAGTAAGTTAAAGCTCTTCTTATTACTTTCATTCATTCAAAGTTTATGTGTTTTCTTGTAGAAAAAATAAAATAACAAGTGATTTTTGAACTAACTATTTTAAAAATCTGTTTGTTTATTATCAACCTGAAAATGTTTTGAGGTGTTGTATAAGCTTAATTATAGGTGTTCTGGCACTTTTTTGAAAACCAAATGCCTGTTGCAAAATTTTAATCTGACTTTTATCTCATATTATATTCTCATTTCTTTCTGATAAATCTAAATGTCTCTCTTGAAAAATAAAGGTGTTGTGCTCATATTTGTACATATTTATTTCGATTTCAATGTTCTGTTTTTAATGGAGTATTTTACTATCTTCACTACTTTGACTGTATTTTTTTAAAGTCTTCTTAGAAACTTTTCAATTGGTAATTGTAATGTCCTTAACATAATAAAAGTTCTCTTTTAATTGACAGTATGGCGTTTTGTTATGGAAGAAAGCACCTTTAGAAAGGTGCGTAAAGAAAGACCTGAAAAATCTGCTGCCATGACCAACAAAAACAGTGTATGTTTGAAAATTTTATCTTTATAGCTTAATGTTGTTTATTGCATTCATAAAAATGACTTTACTTGTAGGTTTCATCTGGGAAAGATAACGATGCTGCCACAAACACCAATGCACGTCCAAAGCTTGTATTTTTTTGGACAAATGCAGAAGTTTTGAAATGGTTACGCAGACACTGTGAAGAATACCATACTCTGTATGCCAGCTTATTTCTGGAAAATGACATTACAGGTAAAACTAGTGCACAGATTGTGTACTGTGTTCTAAAATTTTAAATTCATTCTTGACGTTTCATTTTATTTTAGGGAGATCATTGCTAAAATTGAATGATTCGACACTCGAGAGAATGGGAATCAAAGAAAAAGAACATAGGTTTGTGTCCTCTCATTCATTACCTAGTATTTATTATGTTATATTGCAAAAATAAATTAATATTGACTTATTCTGAAAAAGTTTTTTCCAGTGAAGCTTTTTTGGTGGCAAATCGAAACATATTCAAAATGTGTATTAATTATGAAACAGTATATTATAGACTATTTATTATAAACTTTTTCGTTGATTCATTTTTTTAATCAACTTCCAGAAATTCATTGGTTGAAAGATTAATATTGCATCAGGGTAGTATTTTTTTTTTTTTAATATATTATCCATATTGATTTTTCAAAATTACTCTTAATTATATGAATGTTATGAAGTGTGAGAGTTGAAAATTAGACTGTGACAGTCAGATGTCAATGGTACCTAAATAAATATGTATATATATTTTTTAGTTGCCATTGCAGTTCAACTAGGCATAATTTTTAAAATATATTTTTAGTCACAATATTTATATGCAGTAGGGAACCGATTATCCGGAACGTCCAGGACCATCGCTATTCCGTATAACAGATTTTTCCGGTTTTCTGAATCGCTACAAAAAGCCTTTTTTTTTATTGTTAAACCCAACTAAGAAAAAAAAATATTTGGAAATAATCTTAAAAAGAAGAAAAAACGATGAAGTAATACACTAATGATTATTTCCAAAATGATGGTAAGGTAAACATCTTTCAAAAAAGAAAATCTTATGAGGAAAAAAACATTTTTTAAAGAAAATAGCAGGAAAATTTGTCGAATTTCGTTCCAGTTGTTTTGTTTTCCGGATAACGGGTTCTGTACTGATAGGGAACCGTTTACCCGGAACGATCGGGACCATCGCTATTCCGGATTACTGACTTTTCCGGTTTTCTGAATCGCTACAAAAAGCCGTTTTTTTATTGTTGAATCCTAATAAAAAAAAATTTTTGGAAATAATCTTAAAAAGAAGAAAAAACGATTAAGTAATACACTAATGATTATTTTCAAAATGATGGTAAGGTAAACATCTTTCAAAAAGGAAAATCCTAAAATCTTATGAAGAAAAAAACATCTTTTAAAAAAAATAGCAGGAAAATTTGTCGGATTTCGTTCCAGTTTTTTTGTTTTCCGGATAACGGGTTCTGTACTGGTAGGGAACCGTTTACCCGGAACGATCGGCACCATCGCTATTCCGGATTACTAATTTTTCCAGTTTTCTAAATCGCTACAAAAAGCCGTTTTTTTTTATTGTTGAACCCTACTAAAAAAATTTTTTTGGAAATAATCTTAAAAAGAAGAAAAAACGATTAAGTAATACACTAATGATTATTTCCAAAATGATGGTAAGGTACCATCATTTGATGGTACCATCATCAAATGATGGTAAGGATTTTTCTTTCAAAAAAGAAAGAAAAATCCTAAAATTTTATGAGGAAAAAAAAAAATTTTTTTTTTTAAATGGCGGGGAAATTATCGACTTTAATTCCGGTTTTTTGGTTTTTGATTTCTGGATAACGGGTTCTGTACTGATATTTTTTATCTGGTAAAAAACTTTTTTTGAAAATGGATAAACACCTGAACTCATTTTTTTTAAGAAATGCATTCACGATGCCTGAACTTAAAGTTAGTTTACATTAAAACAAAGTGAAAGCTTACTTTAAAGTAGAAATAGTAGGAATACATTATCATTACGTAGCAGATTGTCATGAACAACTAACTTTTTCAAATTGGTAATCACTTTCCAAAGATAATAATGTTAAATATATATATGTGTATGACAAGCATTTTGTAAATTATAAATAAAATATTTGTTGTGATAAAATTTATTTTTTAAAATCTGGCAGTCTACTTTGACCAAGTTGTACATCATTCAACCGCATACATTGCAAGACGTGGATCATAGTGTATCAAACTAGGTCCACACAAATGTGTAAATAGTAAATCATCCATTGTTTAAAAAAGCACACGAAATCTTGATGATTTTTTAATAAAATTCAAGTGGCTGAAGCCAGTCTCACATCCAACTGTAATTAAGGAAATGAAGTACCGAAAGTATTTTTAAATGAAATTGTTGAGTATTCGGGCTCTGCTAACAAATACTGCTAGGCAGATAGGCATGAAATATTCAATTTATTTTTGCCCCAGTCTTTAATGTTTCCATTATTATATAAATATTTTTATCATCAGTGACATTATATGAAACGGTTTTTTTTTTCCAATGGCAGACATGAAAGACAAATTTGTAGCTTAGAACTATACAAAGAAAGAACAAAAAACGGAAACAAGAGCTACAAAAAGAAGAGTCTATAGGCCATTAATAATGCATCTCGCCCGCCAATAACGTTCCCACAAGGGCCCAGGAGGAAGTGCGAGGCAACGTCTCAGATGGTTGGCATCCATTTTCTTCTTGCAGGTTACATAATGGAAAAAAAAAAAGGGTTGAAAAGATTTTGATTCGGTTCAGGTGTTTTGATAAACAGTCATGGCCAGTGGCAAGGCGTAAAAGGGCCACAGATTTTTCTCTTGGCTATGACGGAATATCTTTAATTCCTTCCAGCCAGTCCTTATTTTTATTTGCTTCTTGGAGTTTTGCGTCAAATGTTGTTCGAAGAGAGATTTTTATTAGCCTTTTTGCGGTCTAGAAAGGAACTAGCTTAAGAGATATTTTTAGAATCTTGACGGCCTTTTTGGCCAAGAAATCTGCAGTTTTGTTATCTTGAAGTCCACAGTGCACTGGTACCCATTGCATGACGACATTTTTGTTGTGTTGGTCAAGCCTGTGAAGGGCTTGACGACAATGTAAAATGTCGGCAGATGCGGGAGCTTTTGAGGAAGCAATAGCTTGGAGTGCGGCTTTGGAGTCAGAGAGGATGACTATGGTATTGAATTTCTCAAGGTGATTCTGAAGTAGTGATAGAGCAACGCTTATTGCCGATACTTCTGCATCGAACGCTGTTCTAGACGAACCGATCGGGTTGTAAAATGAAAAAAAGGTTGCAGGAAACTCCGACTCCTGCATCAGTGCCATCAGCCAATCTTGAACCGTCTATGAATATATGTAGCCATTCGTACTCCGGGTACAGTAAGTGTAAAGTCTCCAGGGGATAGATTTTAAGACTTGGTCATTTGTGTCTCTCTTGGAAACATCTTGACATAGGTTTAAACCCAGTGAGTATCTCTCTTTTTCGATAGGGCACTGTGATCTAATAAGGTCTTCTGTCTTCCAAGTGATATTTAGTTGGTCTTTTATTTCGACGACTCTTTGGAGGAAGCCATTCTGAGTCTTCAAGGTTTGACCAATATTTGCCAGTGGGGTGCTCCATAGGAAGAGGCAGTTTGGGAGTCTTAATATTTTTTCCCACAAAATAACTGCCCTCTCTTCTACACTTGTCTTGATGTTCATATGGTGGGTAAATAATAAAAGTGCATCGATTGGAGTTGTTTTAGCGGCCCCTGTTATAAGTCGATGGGCCTGATTGTGGAATCTTTCCAGCGAGTCAAGAACTTTTTTGCTAGTCGCCGCCAGCGGCTCGCAGCAGTAAGTCATGAGGGGGAGTATATAAGATTTATATGTCATGTCGAGGGTATTTCTACAGCAGCCCCATTTTGACCCAGCTATTCTTTTCATTAGAGAAAGTCTCGAGGTGGCTCTCTCCAAAACTTTGGTCACGTGCTCTGTCCACGTCAGTTTTCGGTCGAATACAACACCTAAGTATGAAGAAGAGTCTGTATATAAAACGGGAACGTCCTCATACAATAGTTTTAGTTTGATAGGCTGATGTGTCAAGGAGAAGGTCTGGTAACATGTCTTTTCCAGGTTGACTTCCATGTTATTGATGTGGCACCATTTGTTTAATTCCTTTAAAGCCTGATTAAGGGCTAGTTCTGATTGTCTCTCAACACTGTTTTTGGGAGTTTCGGTCCAGATGACTAAGTCATCTGCGTAGAGAAGGCATTTGATACCATTAATTTTCTGAAGGTCGACAATAAGGTCATTTATGTAGATGTTGAACAGTAAGCAGCTGGTAACAGCTCCCTGGGGAAGACCTGTCTTGAGTATCTTGCAACGGGAAAAGCAGTTTTCATAGCGAACCTTACAGATTCTTTGGCTGAGAAAACTTCGAAACCAGTCGAACATTTTTGATTGAACACCTATTTTGGC